ATGAGTGGGCAAGGCTCTCCCATCTCAAGAGCACTCACCAGGTGATGGAGGTGCCATCCCCCAGGAGGCTCTGGACCTCCTGCCGACACCTTTGATGATGCTCAGGGTGTGTGGCCAGGGCATAGAGGATCCAGGAGATGCCGCTGGCTGTGGTGTCATGGCCCTCAAACATGAACGTGTCCACTTCGGCACGGAGGTCCTCGTCAGACAAGCTACTGCCATCCTCCATCTGGGAAGACACGGTGATACGGCATGATTTGCCCCTCTCCTCCGAGCTTGTGGGCAAAGCCTCACGCCTCCCCTACTAACACTCACTTTGGCGAAGAGGAGGATGTCCAGGAAGTCCAAGTGCCTCTTGCTCCTGACCTTCTCCAGTTCTCCCTCTTCCTGCAGCTGAGCTTTCCTCAGCTTGATCACTCGGTCTGTTGCAGAACAGTGTTCCCAGGCAGAGCTGAGAGCTCTGGATGCCCAGACACAGCCACCCTCCTTGGCCCGCCTGCCCCCTGTGTCCCATCGTGGGTGCCAGCTGGATCAGGAGGAGAGTGGTAATGGGTGTGCATGTCAGGGGAGAGCTGTAGCATCATGAGCTTATGGGTCGGGTTAATCCTCAACAAAACAGACCCGGGAAGCTTTGCTTGAATGCTGTTGGCAGGGAGTCTCATTCAGCATTCACCCTTGTGCTGTAACATGTCAGCTCCTGCACATCATAGCATCCTAACACCTGCACCAAGGGTGTACCCACTGTGAGTGGTCCCAGTCCTGGGGGGAGCACTGTTGTGGGACCGGGCTCTGCCTGAGGGTTTGGTTCCATTTCCTTTGAGATGTGTCTGATGAAGGAGGGGAGCTGCCCAGGGCGCTGATTCCAACCTGAGTGTTGATGAGCAAGCTGGCAGGCCCGGTGGTTCCAGCGCCCCTCAGGGGTCAGCCTGTAGATGATGTCATTCTGGTAGAAAGCATTCCTCACCCGGGAAAAAAACAAGTTGCTCAGGTCTCGAATGGCCTGGATGTAGGACTGGGAGATCCTGAATAGGGAGGATGCAGAAGGGCCTTGATGGAGGCAGGCATCTGCCCTGGAGTAGATTGAGGATGTGAGGGAGGATTCCTCAGTCAGTAGGACAGGCAACCCGAGACATTTGCCTTTTCTGTCTTAATGCCTTTAAGACCCTCAGCCCTTTGTGAGGGACATTGTAGCCCTGACATCCTTATGGCAGGCACCAGGGATCTGGACCTAATGAAGGTGTGGTGTGGGCTGAATTTGACAGTGACCTGAAACTGTCTGCACAATGTGGCTGTTTGTGCTAAGTAACATCCCAGCGGCCCTACCTACCTGAAGCTGAGCCTTCCTCAGCTTGATCTCTTGGTCTGTTTCAGAACAGTGTTCCCAGGCATAGTTGAGAGCTCTGGATGCCCAGATGCAGCCACCCACCTTGGCCCACCTGCCTCCTCTATCCCATCCTGGGTGCCAGCTGGATTAGGAGGAGAGTGGTAATGGGTGTGCATGTATGATCGGAAATAGGATGAGCAGTTGAGGATTTCACTGACCTGTCTGCTTGGTAGCTGCTACGGTAGCTGAAAGCACACTTCATCATGGTGTCCAAGGTCATCAAGGACACATGCTCAAAGATCTCCAGATATGAGTTCTCTCTGATGAGCTCCTCCCACTTGTCCTGTGGTGGAGGGACACATTAATCCTCTGCTCCTCTAGAAGCCCCACACTGACAAGGTTAGGCTCTCTCTCTCCGTCTTTCTATGTATTCTGATGAGATGTCCTCACCTTCTAAAGTGGGTGTGTTTTAACAATTTAGGAACATATAGCAAATGTTTGTATTGTGATGAGATTTTCTCAGAATCTTGTTATATAATTATTTTTTAAAAATTTAGTTAAGTTCCTCCTAATCCTCCTACGTGCAAACATATGGTATTTGTCCTTCTCTGCCTGACTCATTTTGCTAAGCATAACACCCTCAAGGTCCATCCATGAATGGGGGAAATGGTGGGGGAAGAGGAGAGAGGCAAACCATGAGAGACTCTTGAATGCTGAGAACAAACTGAGGACTGATGGATGTGTGGGAGGCGGGGGGAGATGGGCATGGAGGAAGGCACTTGTGGGGATGAGCACTGGGTGTTATATGGAAACCAATTTGACAATAAACTAATTGTAAAAAAAATTTTTTTTAATGTTTCTTTACTTTTGAAGGAGAAAGATACAGAGGATGAGTGGGGAAGGGGCAGACAGACAGACAGACAGACAGAGACAGAATTGGAAGCAGGCTCCAGGCTCTGAGCTGTCAGCACAGAGCCTGATGCAGAACTCAAACACACAATCTGTGAGATCATGAACTTGAGCTGAAGTCGGATGCCCAACAGACTGAGCCACCCTAGCACCCTTATTATATAATTAATCACTATCTTCTACAAGTTAGGAGCATGTAATGATGCTAGAGCCTTTTAGCATACCAGAAATCAATTGTCCCAAGGGGGCAAAGGGTGAATGTTTTCTGGCCTGTGGCTGATCTAGATATGAGGGGGGGGGAAAGGTGAAGTTCCACATTAGGGAGCAAGTGTCAAGGCAAGAAAAAGGTAATGGGCCAGTACTGATTTACTAAGTAGAGGACATCAGGGACTGTGCAACAAATGTCAACTAAGCACAGTTAGTGAGACAGGGTCTTGCTCAGAGGCGATATTAAGGCATTATACAGCCTGGGGATTTGAGACCTGGTCTCCATTTCCTTCCATGGAGTGGCAGAAATTCATGCAGAAGCTTTCATCCCAAGGCTAGTGCCCACCTCAGTGACACTGCGGGTGTTCACCTGCCACTGAAGCTGCTACTGCCCAGGCCAGCCAGGGCTACTGTCCTATTGTCCAGGGAGATTGACTGCTCTTGCTATCCGAGCCAAAGACATGAAGGAGGAGGAGAAGGGACTCTGTTCCAGCATGACTCTCTCTTCTGTGGACAGTGAGCACAGAGTGGACGCAAGCCTGGGTACTTTTTTGTCCCATCCATCTTTGGGGAACCTGGCCTTACAGTAAAGTATAAGTGCATGATTTGGGGGGGGGGTCATGCCTGATGGTGATCTGCAAGACACACCTGCCTGAGAGTGGACTCTGTCAACTGTGCTGTGGGTGTGAGTGTGCAGGTGAGGGTGGGATGGACTTACCAGCATCACGTGGACAGAGTCGGCCATGAGCCCCACATAGGGCTTCAGGATGTCATAGTGGAAGGCTGGCGTCAGCATGCGCCGGTGCTGGAACCATGTCTTCCCATTCAACAGGAGCAAACCGTACCCTGTTCCACAATGAGGGCGTGTTGGGAAGGAACCTTCCAAGAGTTGTTCAGGGAATTTGGGAGGAACCCAGAGTGTGAAAAGAAGGCCAACATGGGTAAGGCAAGAGGGGCCAGTGAATGTAGGGTAGGTAAATTTCCAAAAGCTGGTATACAGCAAGTGGTCATGACAGCTGAGAGAGCAAGGTGGAAACTGAGTGGGGTGCGTGTCATAGAAGGAATTTGGTGAGAAGTCAGGCCGAGATCATTCTCTGGGACTGCAAAGTGATGTGGAAGAAGCTGAGCTGCAGGAGGGCTCTCCTTACCATTAGGAAGTGTTTCAGCAGAAGGAGAGAATGGAGAGAATGGGGCTCCATTCAGAGTTGAGAGGTGTGACTGTGGTGCCGGTCACCTCTTGTTTAATCTGGGCTGAATGGGTAGCTTTTGGCAAACCTAAGCAGAGGGTGAACTGTGGTCCTGGTTAAATGTACTTACCTATCCAGGGAGCCAGGAATCTGGAGGAGTCACGAAGCTTTGGGTCTGAAAGGTATGAGCAGCATTACAGGAAACTGCCGAGGAGGCAACTGTAGTCTAGGTCATTGGCCTCCATCCCTTCCTGAGAATTGTATGCTGGCAGTTTGTGTCTGTCCACTTTCCACTTGCCTCCCAACCATGACTCTGTTTCTTTCCTGATAGGGACTGTGGGCTCACGATGGCAGACTCAGTGTCTATAGGACAGCCCCAATGAGGACTGTGAGTCAACAAGAAATATAATTTATGTCCTCGGTGCTATTGAAAAGACAGAAACTTGTGGGTATTTTAATTGATGACTCAGGCATTCCATGATACAGCATGGGGAACAGATACTGGTTCCAAATCCCAACCATCATGGATAGCAAATCATCTTTGAAATCTGGGATCGTGCAAATTTGGTGAATAAAGAATGAAGGAAGGAAGGAAGGAAGGAAGGAAGGAAGGAAGGAAGGAAGGAA